TCAAATGGTGCACGACACGCAGTCCCAGGGAAAACGTTGTTAAATACACTCGAAGAAAACTAAGATGGAAACTATAGAGACAAATGAAAAGTTTTGTAAATAAAAAAAAATTGTTAAATCATGAAAAAGCTAAAATAAAATAATAAAAAAGAAAATAGTAAAAATGTCAATGCAAGGAAGAAGAAAGTCTTGCCATACTCTTCCATTTCAAACAAACTTTTTTTCCAAGTGTAAATGAAATAAACTTTGCAGTGGATGAGACGCTGACGCTTACCTGCGGAGTGTGAGCCGCATCCTATTAGAACCTAAAGCACGCAATGCGTTAAGCAATGTGAAATGGGAGTGGTAACGCCTTTAAGCCAAGTTAGCGCAAAGTTAGCCAACTTAGGCAGGCCAATAAGCTTAGCAGAGCTAAGCAGGGCTTACTACAAAAGTTTAGTGGGCAAGTTAGTCGTGAGTCGAGGGTCAACTTTGTATGGCTTGAGGGAGGAAGATTCAATCAAAGTTTTCTGCTAGCCAGCAAAATTTAGTGAATAGGGAAATAATAATAATAATTAATAAATTAATTGGCTTTTTTTGAGCAATAGAATTCCCAAAGAGCAGAGGCAGGCCGAAAGAAAATCCAACCACAAGCCACAAAGAAGAGGAAAAAGAAAAGAAAAAAAAAAAAAAAAAAACTATTGTAATAATATTTTCAAAGCACTTGCAACGTTTTTTCCCTCTCCTCAAAGCGAGAGGGAAAAACTTTTAATTTCATTTCCGTTTGGCTAAGTGCAACTAAATTACGCTAATTGCTGAGCGCCGTGGAACACCAAATGCGCTTGAATTAAGCACAGAAGAAAGCCAACTCAAGAAAAATGGCAACGAAATGTGGCTAAATCAAGCACATCAAAAAAGAAGAGAAACAGAAAACATAATAAATTATATAAAACTCGCTGATGAATTTTCCCGGCAAAAAGCATTTTGTTTAGAAAGTAAAACAGAAAAAAACTACAACCAAATGACACTGAATAAAAATTAAATGTTAAAAAAAAAAAATCACTTTTATGGCTAAAAGAAAGAAGAGCTCAAAGAAATTAAATAAAATTGAAAACAAAATCAATGGCCAAAATGAAAGCGAAGCGCTCGTCGATGCATTGGAATTTGTATATTGTCTCAGGGCGTGGTCACATGGTGAGCCAGACGAAGTTAGATTGTGAGAGAGAAAGAGAAGGTGCGAGTGCGTGCGGGGGTACGGGCAGGGTATGCGGAATGAATAGATTTATGAAGGACGCTTGCGAAATTGATGATGGATCAACGGATCAACAAAACCCACTTAAAACAAATGACGCTAGCAAAATGTTGTCCCAGATAAACAAAAATAAAATTCCAAGAATGAAGCCAACAAACCATGATGAATATTTGATGGAACAGGCAACGACAACACGAAAAATAAAATAAGAAAATACAAATAAATTGGCTTATATATTTGTTATAAGCCTGCGTGACAAAATGGAGAAAAAAGAATTGACCATGACCACAACACACAACAACAAAAAACCATAAATAAATTTGTTGGAAAAGAATGTCGTCTAAAACACTGCAAAAAATTGGAGATTTGATGTAAGCTATTAGAATTTTAAGTAAATAAATTTATTTATGTTATGTAATGCAATTTGTAAATTATTTTATTTCATTTCTCTTGCTTGATTGCCTTGCTATTTCTGTTATTCAATTTGACAAGCATTTTTCACAGTGTAATACCATGTTATAAAGTTAAAAATCATTTAAGAAAATGAGGGGGGAACACCGAGAGCATCGAGACTAAAGCTGCGCTGCTTTTGCGACAAACTGAGCGACAGTCAATCAATCAATCAAACGATGTAACAATCAGGAGCCACAAGCTCCGCAAACGAAGCTGCTGATGGAATGGACCGAGATAATGGGCCAGAGCAGTCGAGGGAATGAAGTTTAATAAGTGCTAGGGAGCTTCCGCATTGGCAACAATTCTCAAGATTGACGATAGGAGATGAAAGAAAGAAAATAACAACAGCAAGCAGCAAGCAGCATAGCAACGCAGCATAAAAATAGAAAACCCGTTTCGCATCACGATGGAAAAAGAAGTTAATAGAATATTAACGGGCTCCGGTGGAAGGAATAGCTCTTGCTGAGTTGAGTTGAGTTGAGTTCTACGGGCGCGAAAAAGGGCGTGACAGAGTCTGGGGCGTGGCTTAGTTATAAAATGCAAACAGTTGAGCAACAGTTGGCCCAACTAACTGTAATCAATCAATGTGAGTGGAGAGGGGGCTGCGGCGGGGGCAGAGATAGGCACAGGGGCATGGCCAGGAGTTTAATTAAAAGGCAAACTTCTGAGCCGCCGGAGCACAAATATTTTCACAAAATTAAATAGCAAATTGCGTAATTCGCAGCTGCATGATAATAATAGACATCGGGAGAGGGGCAGCGGGGGTTGCTCTGCATCACCCACCCCAAGCCGCTCCGCCCCATGCAGTGCTTGTCAAACTCTAAACAAGTCTATGCCTTCGGCTGGCAATTATTTTGCAGCTCATTTAACAAAATTTTGTTCATCGAGATCAAATTGGATTCGGAATTTCGAGTCTGAGTTTGGTTTTTGGCTTTTGCTTTCAGCATTTTGTGGCAAATTATGAAAACCACATTTGTTATTGTTTTTGCTGTTGCCGTTGTTGTTGTTGCAGTTATTGTTGTTGCAGTTGTTGTTGTCATTATTATTGTTGAGGCTTACATTGTAATCAAATTCCATATAGCATTAGGCAAGTCACAAAATATGTTGCGAGCACAAGTGTGCTCTATACACTGCGCGAAATTTTGACTGGTTTCTAATAGTGAATTGAAATTGAAAACAAAAATATTTAAATTATATCAAGCACGAGCCTAGTTGAATTTGAAATGAAGCGAATAAATTCCATATAAAATGATTTGATAAAGAATAATTTAATAACAAAAAGTTCTACTGAGAAACAGTCAATAAAAGAAGATTTGAGGGCATTAAGTAGAATGAAAAGCGGATTGAGCATTAAACAGGTTCCAAATGTTCAATTGAGTTGGAAAAGTTGTTAAATTTAAGTTACATGGAATTATTCTTACAGTTTCTTTTCTGTGTTTCCCGTGTACAACGAAAATTGCTGATGGGCAATTGGGCATGGTTACCAGTGCCCCACAGGCGCCGAAGACGCTGAGAGACTGGGAATAGAGCAGGCTAAAACAGAACCACGGGGCATATTTGTGCACATAGGCACTCACAGAGACGAACACAGATACAGACAAGCACACACACACACACACTCGCATTAAAATGCAAATCACGCCGCTGACTGCTTATGGGCCCTGGCAATTTGAGCCCGGGCAACACAGACAACAGGCCACATACATAAGTAATCAGATACAGATGCACACACGCAGTTACAAATACAGAAAAAATACACATTTAGGCATTTACGCGCACATAATTATGTGTGTTGTTACGTGTCTGTGTGGGCTCGTGTGTGTGCTTGTGTGAGTGCGATGGTATTTTGCTTTCGGCCTGCTAACAAGGCTGCTTGTTTAGGCCTTTGGCTTTCATCAAGTTGTCTGATTATGCACTACGTAAAAGGCCTTCAAGGAGCACTTGTATCTATATCTTTTTATCTATCAAAACATCCGCTTGGATTAGCATTTAGATACCTTTCAGATTGAAATAAACGAATAAAACAATAAAACAATTGTGAAAAGAAGAACTTTGTTAAAGAACGAGTTCACAAATGCAAATCTATATGGGCTGTATGTATGTCTGTATAAATAATACATGTATGTATGCGTGTGTGTGTTATTTACCAATTCCTACAATCGCACACTCAAGCGACAAGTGCGTCAAAATCTTCAAACAAAAGCGCAAATGAATGAAACAGTGGATTCCAAAGAGAAGCTGACGCTGGCCTTGTCTCATTATCATCATACTCATTATCATCTCCATTCCCATCATCAGCATCATCATCATCATCATTGGTGTTCGCTCCGTTGTTGAAACAGGCCTCAAATATTTGCCTTAGCGGCGTGGCATACAATAAAAGGTACTCATCAGAGAAACCTTTTGCTTGAATTTCGGTAGAGATAGATATGAGGGCAGTTCTTTGGGTAATGAAAGACGAATCATTTGGAATCACAATCACAAATTTCTAATGGCCAGCAATGAAATTTATGGGTTAAATTTTTGAGAAATCAAAATCAAATTACTTGGTGCTGATTATCGACTTCTTTAAGTTGTTTACAGTATTAAGTTATTATAAATTCTAACGAATGTTTGAAAACACACCGAGTGTTCCATGGAGAACATTTATTGTGGGAAAGTATGGAATTAAAAACCTTGTTAATGTAAATTGGATATGTTTTATTCCCTTTTTCGCAGAATGAAACTTTACATTTCTCACTTAGAGGTAAATCATATTAACAAGTGTGAAACCTGCGCCCGCTGACAGCTGCCATTATTATTAATGTAAATGAATCGAACATTCAGTAATGAAACTTTCCAGCAATGTTGACAATGATTATCCATGCCAGAATTCTAGGCACGAATACGGATTAAGCTGCCCTCGCACGTGTGCTGCGCCTATATACAACATATGTATGTACATATTTGTGCATATATATATATATGTATGCATATATGTATGTGTGTATATATTTACTTTTTTTGTGTTGCCTCGCTTTGAGGCACTCAGCATTTCAAAATGGCTGCCGTTTGATGCATGCCCCTCGAATGAAATCGAAATACAGACACGAGTCTAGGCGACAACCATACAAACACATATGTATACATATATATATTTGTTTATACTGGCATGTGTGTATTATTTTTCTAACAAGGCGCCGAGCCGGTTGAGCCGAGTTGAGCTTAAATTTCCCAGATTCACAACTGTCGGCAAAACCGTTTTCAACGAAATTAAAAGCCAAGCACTAAAGTCCAAACATAAACTAAATGCAAAGATTACAAAAACAAAGAGAAATGAAAAAGAAAAGCTGTGCACTTTATTTCAGTTGACAAATGCAAAAATAAAACGAAACACGAGCCAAAATCACAAACAAAACAAAAACCACGGGCAAAATAAATAAATGTAACTGCACAACTGCACTGGGAGAAGACAGTGCCTCCAATTTGTAATGCAAAAGGGTTGGCATATCAAATACATTTAATTTTCTCGCTGTGTAATCCCACTATATCTGGAAACTTCAGCTTAATTTCGTTTGGCCATAAACGCGAGTTGGCTTGGCCTTTTATTGATTTCGCTATTGGTAGCTCGTAGGCGTTGCACAAATTTTCGTACATCCATTTTTGTGCATTCCCCCATAAAACTTTGAGCTGTTGCTGTTGTTGATATTGCTGCTGTGGCCAAATAATAATAAAAATGTCGACAATTAATGTCCGATAAGTAATTATTTAATAATTGTGTGTTTTGAGATTTCGTACATATTGATTGACAAACGGTGGCACATTTGATTGATGACATAAGTAAGACCAAAATAAAGTTGAGTGTAGCTTAAAACAGGGCTGCCAACATTACAATAATAATAACAATATTAAGAATCATGGGATGTGTGATTAGAGTTAAAAAATATGTAAAACAGATGGAAGTTAGGCTAAATGTCGAAACTTTGATTGATCAATTCTATTGCGTAGTTTGGTATATGTAGATATACTATAGCAATTTGGCCAGGGTTGCCATTAGGTTGATTGATGAGCTATGCGACATTTGCTTCATTATATCTATAACAGGTATATCCAATACAACCTTTTAGCAGAGTTGTTGTTTAATTAGATTCCCATGTTATACGACATTTGGTTGATGACATAAGTTACGAACGCAAGATGAAAGCGAACCCAACTGCATGCGTAGATCTATCCAACTGGCAGAGTTGTTTAACCGTTGTCTAATATATGCTAAAACATTCGATTGATGATATAAATCATGGCACACAATACGGTTTACCGGACACTCAGCTTTCGGCAGGGCTGCCCTCGGCAGAAAAATAAAAACAAGTTCAATGCTCAAATTGCGTTCACCACGAATCTTTAATCAAAACAATTAACGCGTAAAAGTAGTCAGACAAAAAATATAAAAATCCACTCGTGTTAGACTTAACAAAAAAAAAAAAAACAACTTTCCTAAAGGTCGGTAACCGGTTTTCCACGTCTGTTTTTCGTTTCTTTTTTTTTTTTTTTTTTGGCATGAATCTGACGTCCGCCGTAGGGGCCAACATTCTGTTTGAAATCAATTTTTGACTGCTTCATCTTTACACGTAATGTGTGTAATGTGTTCTTGTGGCCCATTAGAAGAACCGTTTGACGCTTAGCGCCTCACTTACATGTTCGAATACCGTTAGCACAACGTTTTATGACAACACCTTTTGCTTAATGGTGTATGTGTGCGTGCGTGTGTGACTGTGTGCGTGTATGTTCCAATTGATGCACAGACAAATGTCTGCAGCCAAATTCAATTTGTCTGCCTCTCTCGAGTTGAACGAACCAGAAGAAGGTCGCAATGCATATTAAAAGAACTTTTACTTCAATCAATATTTGCAATTCGTGAGGCTCGAATAATAATTGAATTGCAACAGAATAGGCTACATATAATTATTATTATTTAATTTTATTATTTAATGTTTTGCATCACATAATTTTGATTCTTATTTTAAATGCGTTACGAATAATACTTATTATTATTAATTTCATTATACAAATTAAAATGATGTATTTATTATTGTTAGCTCTAATTTAATCAACTTCAATCATTTGTTAAGCATCGATTTTTAAATCCATTTTAAGAAAATGCCTTAAATATAATACTTCTTATTTAATATAATTAATTGGGTATATTTAATATTTTATTGTGTAATCTATTATTCAAGAACACGCTCTTTATTTTCCTTAATGCGTTTTTTTCCTGTTCTGTTTACCTGCCTAACCATGCTGCCTAATTGTTCATCTCCATATTTTGCCTATATATAGAAATGCCTTTATTCTTAGCCTCATTATTGCTTTGTCTTTGTTTTCACATTATTCATTGTTTACCTCGTTGCTTCGCTCTTGTGCTCTGTGTGCTCTTCTTGTTCATGTAGTTGGCTATGTGCGGGTTCATTTTGCTTACTTTTCTCACACGCTCTTTAAGAGAATTCCCAATTCATTTCTCATGCAGCCTAAGTAATTTCTTTTTTTATGATTTATTGTGCTTTTTATTCAATTTTTATTGATTTCCCTTCATTCCGCATGTGATTATTCTCTTCTGGCTGCAGCTACTGCCAGTTGCCGCTTACCTCATGTGCCCCTCTCACCTGTGTTCATCTGCTCACCTGCCTTTTCTTCGCTTTCGTTTCGTTTCGTTTTGTTTCTTTTGTGTGTGTTATTTTGAGACTTTTGCATATTGCGCATATTTTGTTCGGGTCTTGTACCCAGTTTTCCAGCTTAAAGCCACATTTTTCGTTTTCGTTTCGTTTTCGCTTTGTACGAGTATTGTTCGCATCATCCGAGTCCGAATTTGTATCTGTATCGGTGTCTCTGCATGTATCTGTGTCTGTATCTGCTGATGTTGTTGCCTTTTCTTTCTTGGGGCTCAGCTGGTGGCGTTTTTTGTGGACTTTGATGGCTCAGCATTTACATTTCGTTTTATATTGAAATTCATTTTAGTTATTTATGTTCAAGCTGCGCTTTTTTTGTTTTTTGTATCTTTCTTCATATTTTCTTTCAAGTCACTAGCCAGCCGAAACAACAAATAATGAACCGCTGATTGGGCGGCTCCGATTATTAGTACCGTGTCTGCAGCGTAATTTGTTGTTATTCACTTTGTTGTTAATTGCATTGCATAGATGTCAATGCAATTAACTGGTTCGCAAAAAGGATATTTGCTTATTGAATTGAATTCAAATTGCAGCACCAGCAGCAGCTGCCGCTGCCGTAGCTGATGTGCATTTTAATTATGCAATATGTGTCGCAAAATCTCTTTCTATATATATAAATATATATTCCGACACCAGCTAACTAACTAACATTAAACTGAGCAGACAGTCGGCTCGGCTTCATTCAATTGTCGAAATTGCATAATTATGTCGATAAGGCAAATTCACAACGATGCGTGATTGCCTCTGTAGGGGAGTGTGTATACACATACGCAGGGAGACACAGATACATACTCACATTCTCTGTGTGTACGTTTCAATTTGCATTAATTAAAATTGACAGGCCAAAAATGTTGCACACAGTTTGAAAGCTCGGAAATTGCTGCGAAAAGCTATACATACATTTATTTAAATTTAAGTTTTTTTTTTTTTTAATTTTTTCTCATTTAGTGCTTTTGAAAAGTTGCCTGAAGTGAAGTCAGTAAAACATAAAAATGCAGTCGTTGATGAATGTGAAACAGAAAGCGGGGAAAAGGCAAAGAAAAAGAGCTGGAAAATAATTATATGAGTGGCTTAAATGCCTGGCAGGTTCTTTAAAACGCGTGAAATGGGGAAAGGAAAGGCCTTTAACCCGGCCTCTGTGTGAGAAAGAATGAAAACAGAACCGGGTTTGCAGGCAGCATGCCAGAGTGCACTACGGCCAGCGAATTTAGTGAAGTGTTTTGTGGCTTAGTGAGCGGCAGAGTTGCTTAAATGGTATTTAAGTCTAGCTGTGTGTGTGTGAGAGAGAGAGAGAGCGCGAGCGGGAGTGGGTGTGGGTGTGGGTGTGGGTGTGTGAGAACAGAGCTGAGGATTAGCAAACAGAAGGACGAGCTGGTTTAGGTTGAAAAAGAGTGCAGACACGATGTTGACATATCGTGCAGAGTGTCTATGGCTGAGAGCGGGATCAAAACGAAGATAGTAAATGGACAGGATAGCATGGTGTGATCGAGAAACAATCAGAATTGTTGACAAGCAGGATAACAGGTGTAGATAGCAGAACGAGAAGATACAGTTGCCGGCATGTCAAGCACTGGTTTAATAGCTTTACTGTTTTGTAATGAGTCTGTTCGACTTGTCAGTAAATGAAGAGAAGTAATAAAATGTATAGACTGACATGAGTCAAGAAGCAGGAGAAGGCAGCTGGACAGGCACTCTGCTGATATGGAATGTAGACTGTTTGCTAGTCGAGAGAAGATGAAATGTGGAAGATTACTAAATAGGCGCAAGCTGATGCAGATAGAGTGTCTGCTAGTCGTGCAGTTTGCTACAGCGAATCAGTATTTGGACAACACTCACAAAATATACTTGATATTAATATGAGTGCGAGTGTTTGAGTGTTGTTTGCGTCGAGCAATCGACAATCAACAAATTGAATCGAGTCTTGGAAGTCACCTAAAATAATTGTCAGAAGCAAATGCATTTTCCAATTAACATGCCAGTTGCCTTGTTCAAAATTTGCCTGTGAAGTTGTATCTGAAGTTTGTTTTGTATCTGGAACTGAATCTGAATCTGTATCTGGTTGGGTAATGATTTCAATGCTGTTGCTGTGGATACTAGAGCTATGAAACTCGCTCAAGTTTAGCCATGTGTGGGCACATTTGAAACTCACTTGGATTGCGCTTGGATGCAGTCAGTCAGTCAGTCAGTTAGTGAGTCGCCCACGCCAAACCCCTCTGAGAGAAAGACATGATGGAGAGAGAGAGAGGTGAAGAGAGGCTTAACAAGCAGCTCAACGGATGCCCAGAGTCTGAAGTGTCGACATGAAGTCTCACAATTGCAAATGTTGCTTGCAGCACGGGCCTATCTTGTATAAAAATACCCTGTTATATGTTGAATAAGCTGAAATACCATGCCCATCCAGTCTACTTGCTTGAATCTTAAAGACTTGAATTATATACATTTTTATAAGTAACTAACAACAAGATACTCAGCAATATGCCTTACAAACTGAAGCTTATACAGGGTATCTTGCTCTTAATGCCATAATAAAGAAAAGGTGTATTTGAAGCACTTATTTGGCGTAAGATATCGCTCGATCAGAGTTTGAGTTATGAAATCGCAGCAGGCCACTTGAGATACGGCATTTGTGTTCGGATTGGTTTAAATGTGTTCGTTGGCCAAGAGCTTTGGACTCGGCTTCGACCCACTAGCCTCCGCCTTTGCGTCTGGCGTGGCCGGGCAGCCGGCTGATGTTGATGTCAAGTTCATAGGCAAAACGAAGCTGTTGAGAGCGAACTTGTAATGCAGTTTCACACGAGCATCAAAGATGCGGCATTGAGGGGCATTCGCTGCAAGAATTATTTTTATAAATTAGCAAAAAAAGGGGCGTCCAATGCGGTTGTTGGTGTTGTTGTCGTCGTGTTGTTCTCGTTGTTCTTGTTGTTGATGATGTGGATGCTGTTGCAATTTTATGCGCAGACGCCTAAATTAAAAGCGACGCGAGGCGGCTGCCAACGAGGCGTTCCGCAAAAGGGGCACAGTTTGACAGGCAGTGGCACCGGCCTACACTCAGGCGCACACACAGACACACAGGCACCCGGCTACAGATACATATGTAAATACAAATCTCTAGGCAGCAAAGGGTCATTAACATGCCTAGCAGAGAAAAAAGAGAGCCAGGCAAAACCAAGCGAAGCAAACGGCTGGCGACAAAAGCCGTGTAAAGCAGGCAGTCAGGGCTAGAGGGAGGGGCAGATCCCCGGTAGGGTAGAGTAGGGTCGGGTCGGTTAGAAGAGTAGCATCTAGCAATAGAGCGTAGAACATGAATAGAGCAGAGCATGAAAAGCGCCTGTACAAACAGTCGTCCGACAAGCGACCCGGCCATGGAAACGAGTCTGTTCTGTAATTGTGGGTGTCTGAAGGAGAGCCCGCCAAGGGTTACCAGGGGCAGCATGGCAGCATGTCTGCATAACTGCGGAGGATACGAAGCAATTTGCTGTGGCGATGTGAGTTTTGCTCTGCTTGGCTCTTAGCTGT